TAATAATAATCAGCCACTGCACCTCCATGCTTGATAACAGTCACTGCCCCCTTGTTTGCTTCTCTATAATTGCTACTCTAGAGGGCACAGTTGGTAATGAAGACTCTTAAATCTTCTCCATAGAAAAATCATCTGTGTTTTCTGTGGGGTAGTTTTTGAGGTATCTTCCAGGTCTTGCATTCCAGTGGCTCAGTTGACCCACTCAGATATTGATTGGTTCTGCCCCAACCCAGCCTATTAGCAGACCCTGATTACCCCCGCCTGGCCCACTTGTCTTTATAAACCCTGTCCCCTCAATTTTCAGGGCACTGGAGCTGAGAGATTTCTCTTCTTTCCTCCCTTAGTTCTCTGTAGAATAGACCCTTTCTCTGTCTCTGTTGGCTTGTCTTGGGCAGCAGGCAGATGAACCCGGGTGGCCAGCAACAGAACACATTTTTTGACCAATGATGGTTGAATTTGATGAATCTATGTTGCCTCAGACCTCATATCTCTTTTTGGCTAAGACCAGAACTGGTAAATTAGACTTTGAACACTTGTTTGCTTAAATACCTTGTAATCCTTGATACACACTTACATTATATAGACTTGACTTAATTAAAGGCATTTCCTATAAACAGAAATTGCCAGATGCTTTAAGAAAATGATTTGAATGAAGGTGTTAGGGACCAGGAGATGGGCTGAGACTGGACACAGGGGCTTGAGGATTGGGTGCAGGTGTTAGACAACTTTTAAACAGAATCTAACTAGGGGATCTGATAACTACAGGCAAGAAATGTTTTTGACCACCTTGTCAGTGATCTCTGCCACCTTACATGAACTTCAGCTTATTATAATTTCATTTACACTTTGGTTTTAAAATGTCTCCACCCTTGAAATTACCATGACAGTTCTGAAGCAATCATATAAAGTATGACAAGGAGAAGAAACCCAATTCTAGGAATTGCTACAAATTCTTAGTCAAAGCCAGCTCTTTGGCCTTGAATATTACTCCCCTCAATTGGTAAGGCTACAAAGGCTATAAAACCACTTCCTCTCAGGAGAGCTTTTCCCTTTCAATAAAATCCATCACTTGTTGGGCTTACCTGGTATGTCCTGAAATTCTTTCTCCAAGGAACACGAAGCAAACACCAAGAACTTGCAAAACCTCCACTTGGAGGCTGGCGAGAAAGGTTCTGTGTAACTTTCATTCCAGTATGTCACTGTAGCAATGTCTGACCAACTTATAAACGTTGGTCAGGAAACTCCTCACTCCATGCAGCATTTCTTGGTCTCACCTGTGCCCTTTCTCGTACTTACTGCACGGTCTATCATTGTAATCAGTCCATTATAAACTCTCCTACCTGCCTCACTCCTGTCTCTCTTTCACTTGCTTACTGACACAAAAACACCAGTTAAAACACAAATCTCATTTTCTCTGTCACTTCACAGTCAACCACAATGGAAGGAAAATAGACTAATGTGTCACCTCAGAAACACTCCAAGCCCTCTCCAACCTACCTTTTACATACTTGTCCTTTCTATAACACTCCTGCCTTGCAAGATGATGATTTAAAATTGTTTCTTCTCTTGAAACGACTAAAACTCTCGTAAACTCTTTGCTTTTAACCATTGTTATGGTTCAGTTTACTGAAAAAAAAACTAAGTAATGCAAAAATTATTTCCTTGGTTCTCCCTCACAGAATCTTTCCCAAACAGCCCCGTCTGGTCTTTGTCATACCTTGCCTGTGTTAATTTGATTAATTGATTTCTTTGTCCCTGTCTCAGCAGATGAACGGTTCATCTTCCAGGGACCAGTCCCCGTGTCTGTGTATTAGATCATACTGACTTTTAATTTAACTACAATTATCATTTTTTCCTCATAAATTATCTTTTTCCTTTTTACTGGATTATTCACATGAGAATAAGAGATTAGCATATCTGTAATTTCATGAAATTCCCTCCTTTGACCCCACAGCCCTCTCTGGCTCCTAAGTTCTCTGTTTACTTTTAGCCGATGATCTCCTTGGAAGAGTTAATAATACCAGTGTGCTTCATTTTTCTACTTTCCATTCTTTCTTAAATTGACTGTAATTATAGTTTTTATCCCTGATGCTTGACCAAAACTGGTCTTGTAAAGGTTAATAATAGTACCCCAGTGTTCAAATCTAGTGCCTAAATTACATTTGTCAACGTATTTGCCCTCTCAGTGATGATAGTATCAGTAGTCTTCTTCCCAAACCCACCCCTTCATCAAATCCTTTATACCAAGAAATCTGATCAATTTAATTGAAGCAGGACGTAAAAGAAGAAAAGTGCGTTTTATTCCCTTTGTGATATTGGTACAGAGATCACTCTTCCTAGAAAAATGTTCAGTATCAGCAGTCACTGTTAACATTGCCTTCTTCTTAATTAATTCGTGCTGCTCAGGCTTATGGGGGGGCTCTGTTTCTGAGACTTCATTATTTCTTTATTCCTGTATTTCTTGTTCAGAAAAACCTGAGATCAGAGCGTAAACAGTCCATTCACAGAAGGGGACAGGGAGAGGGAAGGCGCATCTCCCCAGTGCTGTTCAATGCTCATCTTACAACATGGAAGCCTGCAGTTTGGCCCAAAGTCTCCTTCCTGGGTTTCCCAGCTGAAGCATGGAAAATGAGTGAATTATGTAAAAACCCTACATCAGACGTCAATGAGGACCAGCAACTCCTGAAGAGCAGCCATTTAGAATAGTTGTCACACTTTACCACACATCACAATTCTCTCAGAAGCCTGTCACACTGCCAGACAGTGCTGGTGAAGTGCAGGCTTCTCCATCTGTGCGTTTTCAAGTATTTCTGATGCAGGTAGAACAAACATAAACAACACACTGTTCTAAGAACTACCAAACTCTTACATTTTGGGACTTAGACTGGACAAACGGGGACTAGGAGTAGGAAGAAGAGATAAAACAACTGTTAGCCAAAAACAAAATGGGAAAATCTCTTTCTAACTTTCAAAACAAAAAAACAAACAAAATAAGGCTTGTCTTGTCAATTAAGCTAGCAGTCAGTAAACATTTACCAGAAAAAGGGAGGCGATGGCCAGGTTCGCAGTCACATTTCCCCAGGGATGCCACTTGAAGATAAGGAACATCCCCAGCACAGACTCACCCTGTTTGCCACGGGACCAGCATATATCAACTCCTTTGCATCTTGCCTGCTTTCATCATTAGTTTCATTGGAAATTGGAATAAAAAACATGACTATGTCTATGTGTCAACTGCCTTTGCACCAGAAACCAAAGCCTAAATCTGCTTCTGTTGAGTGTCAGCCATAATCAAAACAGACGCCTTAATATTTTCAAGTATTTTGTTGCATCTTATTAATTTATTTTTAAGATGCATACTTTGTTTTACAGAGTACTCATTTTCAGACTTCTACTTGTTAATCTCAGAGCCAAGTCCGCTGACTCCACATCTGCCTATACTCATTCCTAAGTTGGCTTTAAAAGCAATCTGTATAAACTGATACTCTCTAAATATACAACTTTGGGCTATACACTCTTCAACTGAATACTTGACTTAGCTACCAGTAATTTAACTTATTACAAATTAATGTCATCAATCTTCAAATGTGCTAGTTATTCTATAGCCATAGGCAGTGTGACCATATACCTAACTGTTTCTTCAAATGTCTTAGGCTCCTTTATTCTTAACTCTGTTTTTCTCACTCTAACTTGATATTCCTCAGTGATGACACCAAGGACTACTTTCAGTACATATTCCAAATACGATCACTTCTTTTGAACTCAACCGCTAACACTACATTTTCAGCTACCATTATCTCTTATCTATACTGCTAAAATAGTTTTCAGTATGCATTTATTTTAAAACAATATAGAATGCGTCACTGTATACACTAAGCGCTTGGATACTTCCCATTATACTTAGAAGGAAAATGCAGACATTTCTCTAAGTCTATGGGGCTCCATGAGATCTGCCCTGGGCTACCAGGAGATCATAATCAAGCTCATAACCTGCTACTCTTCTCTTAATTCATGCCAATCACACCAGCCATCTTGCTGTTCCTACAAAAAGCTGAGTAAGTTTCTGCCTCATTTTTTATAAAGCATAGAGAAGATTAACATATATATCATGATAAATTATTGAAATAAATTTGTGTTTATTAATGAAGCATAGATGTATGCTTATGTTAATTCAAGAAAATAACTAAAATATAAGTTATATTAGAAGTAAAGCCAAGTTCTCAGTACAGGAATAATATTAGCCTACTTGGTCAACATTTATATCAACCAATTAACTATGAAGAATATAATATTTGCTATAGATAGATAACAGTGTTTATATCATTAACAAGACCAATTAAATAGATGACATGATCAAAACTCTGAATACTTAATTTCTTCAGTTTCCAATATATAGATGTTCACCTAATTGTTGATATTCTAACTGAAAAAGTAATTTAATTTTCTTGTTTTAATTCTTTGATTGCAATGAGTTACTCAGTAATACCTTATGATGACAAAAATAGCAGTAATTTATACTACATGAGAACTGTTTATTCTCTTGAGCACTTTATTTTTAACTTAAAAAATTTCACATTAAGTCCCAAGATTCAAAAATATAGAGCCATGGGCTGGGCCTAGTGGTTTATGCTCTAATCCCAGCACTCTGGAATGCCCAGAAGGAGTGGATTGCTTGAGCTCGGGAATTTGAGACCAGCCTGAGCCAGAGTAAGATTAGGTGGTGGTAGTTATAGCAGGCACCTGTAGTCCCCACTCCTTGGGAGGCTGAGGCAAGAAGGTCGCTTGAGCCCAAGAGGTTGAGGATGCTGTGAGCAATGATGTCACAATACTCTACTGATGGTGACAAAATAAGACTTTATCTCAAAAAAGAGAGAGAAAGAGAGAGAGAGAGCCTTACCAAAACTCCTATAGCCAAAGCCTCCCTTCTTCCTAGTCAATTGTGAAGTTCTATGAATATCTATTGAAGCAAAATACAATATTTGCAACACCACACTCCTTACCATTCACTTGGAAGATGTGAGTCTGGTAGACATGTTCGTAGCCATCTGCATAGCAGGTGTAATTGCCCATGTGAGTTGTAGTAACCTTAGTAATATACAAGGACCCATCATCTCCAAAGTCCTACAAACAAAAGTAAAATAAAATAAAATAATCTGTATTTTAAAAAATTTTAACATTTTCACTTTTTAAATAAGATACGTCCAAGTGCAAAATAAATACGTTCAAATATTGTTTTAAACTTCAAATGATCATTGTTAGGACAGTAAATGCAGAGGATTAGTAATTACCATTTTTTTCTGTTTCTTTTTAATTAAATCATAAAGAGGTAGATCATGTATACATTAATGCATTTATGGAGTACAATGTGCTGATTTCATATACAATTTGGAATGCTTACATCATACTAATTAATGTATCCCTCACCTTATTTACTTAATTATTGTGATAAAACATTTATACTCTATACTTAATAGATCCGACATGTACCCTTGCAATAGGCACCATATTTGTGATCCCACCATTCACCCTCCCTCCATCTTACCTCCCCCATACCCCCTCCTCCCTTCATCCTGGGCCATACATGTGATCTATTCTTCATATAAAAGTGTGAGTGATTGTAAATTGGTTTCATAATAGTACTGAGTACATTGGATACATTTTATTCCATTCTTGAGATACTTTACTAAGTTGGATATGTTCTGGCTCCATCCATATAAACATAAAGGGGTAAAATCTCCGCCTTTTTAAGGGTTGAATAATATTCCATGGTATATATATACCACAATTTATTAATCCATTCATGGGTTGATGAGCACTTGGGCTTCTTCCATGACTTGGCTATTATGAATTGAACTGCAATTAATAATCTGGTGCAAATATCTCTGTTATAAAGTGATTTTTGGACTTTTGGATATAACCTAGTAGAGGAATTGCAGGATCAAATGTCAGGTCTACTTATAGATCCCTGAGTATTCTCCATACTCTTTCCAATAGGGACATATTAGCTTGCATTCCTGCAAACAATGAAGAAGTCCCATGCCAACATCTGTAGTTATGGGATTTTGTTATGTGAGCCACTCTTACTGGAGTTAGATGATATCTCTAAGTGGTTTTGATTTGCATTTCTCTGATGATTAAAGATGATGAGCATTTTTTCTTGTGTCTGTAGGCCACACGCCTATCTTCTTCAGAGAAGCTTCTGTTCAAGTCCCTTGCCCATAGTGAAATGTGATTACTTGTTCTTTTCTTATTAATAAGTTTGAGTCCTTGTGGATTCTGGTTATCAAATCTTTATCAGAAACATAACCTACAAAAATCCTCTCCCATTCTGAAGGCTGTCTGCTTGTTTTAATTACTGTGTTCTTGGCTGTTCAGAAGCTTTTTACTTTGATCAGATCCCAGTAATGTATTTTTGGTGTTGTTTCAATTACTGGGGGGTGGGGGGTCTTCCTCATAAAATATTTGCCCAGGCCAATTTCTTCAAGTGGTTTCCCTGCACTTTCTTCTAGTATTTTTACAGTTTCATGTATTAAGTTTAAATCTTGAATCCAGTGAGAGTCTTAGTTAATAGTGGAAGGTGTGGGTCCATTTTCAGTCTTCTACAAGCCAACAGCCAATTCTCCTAGCACCATTTGTTAAATAGGGAATCCTTCCCCCAATTTATGTTTTTGAGAGGCTTATCAAAGATCAAATGACAATAAGTGTCTGGGTTCATCTCTTGGTTTTCAATTCTGTTCCATACATCTACCTCTTTATTTTTGTGCCAGTACCATGCTGTTTTGATCACTATAGATTTGTAGTATAGATTGAAGTCTGG